ACTGTAGGGGTTTAGGGTTTTAGGGGTCTAGAATTTTAGGGTTTAGGGGTTTAGGGGTTTAGGGCTTAGGGCTTAGGAGTGTTGGGTTTTAGGGTTTTAGGGTTTAGGGTTTTAGGGGGTTAGGGTGAAGGGTGAAGTATGGACAGCAAAACCAAGGTCATGAACCCTTATGCGCCCAGATTCAATGTAATGTTCAGTTTTCTTTCATGTGATTTTCCATCCTGAAAAAAAGTGGGGCTACATGGTGTTTATAGGGTCTGTATAAGGCCATTTACATATATAGATATATACATATTTATAAAGGTCTTTGTAGCGTTCACGAGGTTTAGGGCAAAGAAATGCTAAACAAGCCATCAAATGTGCATGTGTTTGCTGAAGTCTTGCCATGTGGAAGCTTGTCAAAAGCTTTCATGTGCGGGGGGGACCCAATATGCTAGGAGCTGAGCTACAATCGGGAATCAAAATGGGGCCAGAAAATCGACAACCCCCAATATATACATTTATATATATATATAGTGCCAGATGTTCATCCGAAATGTGCCTGAAATTTGGGCGGGAGCAGGGCAAATGCTTAGACATTTAACGTGAGTTGAGAGATCACCGCACGTACATGCGTGTGGCTTGCAATCTTCAGAACCGGACTGTTGCTGACGCATGTGCAGCATCAAAACTATACTCAGCTTACCGTTCTTGACAAAAAGCGATAGGATTTGACAGTCACCACCTGTTTTGCGGTCAAAAGGTCTTTGCTGAAATCTCTTGCCAGAGAGGCCCCTTGGCCGTCAAGCTCAGCTGGTACAAACCCACTTTCTGGGTTGCTGTTAAGTAACTTAGATTAAGTCACCATGATGATCATAAAAGTATAAATAATAGAGTTTCCCCAATGCAGTTACTTGAATTAAGGTCCTCAACAGCAGCCCCTTTTCGGGGGCCATAACCGTGAGGTCTTCGCAGGTGTCTCAACAAGCTCATACAGGGGAACCGTCACGGTTTGTATACCAGGTTACGCACATTGCGGACAATCCTGGAAAAAATGAATGTTTGCGCCCGGCATCAGAAAAACATTTGATAAGCATCAAGAAAAAATTGAGGGCATAAGACTCCAAATTTGCAAGAAGAGAGAGAAGGGGGAATAGTAATAGTTGTAATACGAATACGGACAAGAATACTAGTAGTAAAACACATAAGAACGGGAGCCACGAAGCCAGGAGCTTCTATGTCATGCAGAACAGTCCCAAAAGCCAGGAAAGCCGAAAAGCCAAGAAGCCAGTGGCCTGCGACTCAATTTTTGGATGCTTGTCAAATATGTTGTTAACGCTTGCCAAATTATTTGTTGATGCCTTCTCAATTTCTTTGGTGCCTATGCCGTAACGAAAACCACCTCATTGGGAACTCCTGAACCCTTCCAAACCCTAAGCCCTAAACAGGGCGGGTCGCAAGAGGAAGGTAGATCGCCGCGATGGAATCCATCGTCACAAACTGCGCCAGCGTGATCATCGTATTCCAGAGAGAGCCTCTGGCATATTCTTGAGGTGCTAAGAGAAATCCTTTTGATTCTGTTTTTGTCGGCTCAAGTAAACACTAAGCATCAAGTGTTATCCGATCCACGGTCGAACTGAAAAAGGATCAAAATCGGAAACAAGGCCTCTGGCGGACCGTTGTCTCCAGAAAATATTGGAAATTAAAATTACCGTTGGGGTCCTACCCTACATACAACAACAAGCCAGCCATTGACAGGCTGGTCTCAAAGCAATCCTAGTTTAGATCTGAGGGATTCTCAGGAGTAGGGGCCTTGTTTTCAAGAGTATATGGGGTACCAGAACTTTGAGAGACGACTATGTGCGGCTAGCACTGTAGGGGATAACAAGAGCGCCCTCAACGGGGGCAAGTGCTTCTATATCCCCGGTGTGCTCACCTTGTGCCGAGACTTCCTGGTTGCTAGTAGGAAATAAGGTTAACCTCTAAATATTCCCTTTTTGATATATTCCCTTGTTCCCTACTAACCCCCACAGTAAGGCGATGAGTCTCGTCAGCTTTGAGGACAAACAAGCTCGCGTGCAGCACCAGTACTGCTGAAGAAAAGCACCGGTTTAGGTTTTAGGGTCTGGATTTCGGAAATATGTGTCTTGGGTTGTTCTACTACAACGTTTCGAAGAAAGGGACTTTTTGGTTCCTCCAGGCCCGAATGTGTGCGTTACCCTAATCCCCCTAAACCCTAATCCCCCTAAACCTTGAAACCCGAAACTATGGTTTGGGAGACACCCATACAGAGGCCTAGACTAGAAGGGGGCTTGCAGGTGGATATTGATGTATGGCTGCGACAGATATGGAGGAACGATCGAGTAGCATGTCTCTAAAGCCTATAGAATCCCATTGCAGTAGTTTCCACTATCCCCATATCACACCTATATAGGAACTATCTAAGTAGCATGTCAAGTTTCAAAACAAGGTCATTCGCATGAAGGCTCGAACATCAGTTGGCAACCCTTTGTAACAGAGATATATCCCTATGTACCCCATATAATATCCCTGTATATACCCTACATATACCCGTATAAGCATGTCAAAGGACACGGAACCCTCCACAACAAGCCTAGGAATGCACCCTGAACGCTACATCATGCACTTAAACCTTGCGCCATACACTCTTGGAAGCTCCAAGCTCTAAAACTAACCTAAAACCCTAAACCCTAAAATCCGTGATGCATGTACAGACCCATGTGCGTGTTCGTTTTCCACTCAATATTCCGTTTGATTCTCCTCCATCCCCCCAACCCTGAACCCCAAAACTCCCAAGACCCCAAGCCCCAAACTCTAACCCCTAAAGTCCTAATAAGGGATTACAATAATACCCCCCCCCCCAAAGGTGCCCCCCCAGCTTTAGAACCCTATTAGGCCTTATTAAGCCCTATATAGTCCTTATTAGATCCTTAAACCCTGGGGGGGTACCTTTGGGTGGGTACCTTTGGGGAGGGGGGGGGGGTACTATTGTAATCCCTTACCTAAACCTTACATCCTGAACCCTAAACCAGACGATCCTACACCTGAAACCTTGGATACCTCCCCTTCAAAGTAGCTGTCCTCGCTGTCCTCAAAGGTCCTAGTCAGGGGCTACTGTAACTCCTATTACCCGTTTTGGTAGTTGTTACTTTAAGGGGGGAAGGACCCAACCTAAACCCTGAACACTTCCCTAAACCCTAAGCCCTAAACCACATCACAGAACCAAACGGCCCCAAACCGTAAACCAGGAGCCCCTCAACCCTAGAACCATTGACCTCCCTTGACCCGAGCAGCTGAAGTTGACACGCAGGATCTCGCTTGTTACCTCGGCCGACTTCAGGGGTGTCGGGGGTTTAAGGTTTAGGGTTTCGGGTTTAAGTTTTAGGCTTTAGGGTTTAGGGTGCAGGGTTGAGAAAGTAGTATGTGGCGATTATGGGGTGTAGGGAGTAAAATAAGATGGAAAAAGAAAGTGGGCAGTGAAAAGGAAACTGGGATTACAAGAGCCCTGGACTTAATTTGTAGTATATCCTTTCATAGGTCCCTCCCAAAATCCTATATAGTCCCCTATAGGTCCCCCCGTCAGTAGCGTACATCAGGGTTTAGAGGGATTACCTTGCATCCGCATCAAGATCATGATGACGTCCCTATGAGGCACCCTATACCATAGCTATACAAGGAAACTAGGACGACAACCTTGTAATCATTTGGGCTCCTTTGCCCTAAGCCAAACCCTAAACCCTAAGCCGTATGTAGGGTTCGGACAGGAGCGCAGCAAGTTGAGGATTTTGGGTTTAGTGTTCAGCAGCTTCTCAATTTGCAAAAGCAAAAAGTGTCAAGAGAAGGAAGAGCAGAATGCGAACGTCCTGAAACCCTAAAACCTTAAACCTTATAGGGTTCAGGACTTTCGGGCTTTCAGTTGAGGAGTTCAGGCTCAGGGCTTAGCAACTTCCCAATGATTCAATGTCAGAAATGTCAACAGAAGCAAAGCCAGAAAGCTAAAGTCCTAAACTCCAAACCCTAAACCCCAAATCAGGGTTTAGGGTTTAGGGTTTAGGATAAACCCTAAGCCCTAAACCCGAAACCCTAGGGTTTAGGGCTTAGGGACTAGAAGCCTACAGGCAGCCAAGTTACCGGGTCATTCTTGAAGTGGGAGTTCCGTGCT